ATGGGATTGGCATTGGGAGTGTTGGTCTATGACTTGACCAAAGTCGCGCTGGGCGGGGGTCTGTAACTAGGGACTGGTTATTTCGTCTTTTGACGGGTGCACAAGTCTCACCGGAAAGGCATACAGTACACCGTAGCCCTATCGAGTGGCCTGTATTCGTCGTCCATAACATACGCCTGCCCATACCATAACCCCACCACCACCATGGGCCACTCGATTCACAACATTACCCTAACCCTAATCCTAACCCTCACACCACATACTGACTGGTTTTCGGACCCCCCCAGACCCCCCCAATAAAGCAAAACTGCACGTTTCAGAGTGGCCTTTTATTGTGGCCAGCCTAAGGCACACCTGTGCAATAATCATGCTGTCTAATCAGCATCTTGATATGCTACACCTGTGAGGCGGGATGGATTATCTCGGCAAAGGAGAAGTGCTCACGATCACAGATTTTTTCAGATTTGTGAACAATATTTGAGAGAAATGGTTATTTTGTGTATAGAGAAAATGTTTTAGATCTTTGAGTTCATCTCATGAAAAATGGGAGCAAAAACAAAAGTGTTGCGTTTATATTTTTGTTCAGTGTATATCCTACTGTCAGTTTGAACCAGCACAGATATCGATTAAATGGCTTTTTAAATTAAGAGTCCTTCCTGTAAATCTTGAAATTGTCATTCATGATTACACATTCTAATCAATGTTTACAGTAAATGGTAACACAATAAAATCACAAGTCTACAGTAGAGTCGTGCCACACTGGCATGGCGGGCGGTTAAGCTAAACTATCGAAGCGTCACTTGCATGCACGGTTTATTGTCTCCATAGCCTGGATGAAAAGAAAGCGTTACAGGACATCAAAAGCACTGAGAGGGAAACAGAAAATCTTCTCTAAGACTGTGCGACTCTGTCAATAACAACGGTCTATGTTAAAAGCTTTGCATTACACATTGTTACAGAGGGTGTCCTTCAGTGTGTGCTCCTAGGACATACAAAATAGTCAGCTATTAGAAAGCACATATAACAGCTAAGAACTCTCCAAGTGATATAAGAGCGATAATATGAGAGTAGTAGTAATAATAATACAGTAATAGGTGCAATCCCCCTCCTCCAGCTAGGTATCTTACAGGTCAGGTACATTGTTATGAATAATGAACTGTACATGGCACTTCAAAAACACTTTTAACAGAAAACTCAGGTGGATGATTCTGAATAAATAGATTAAGAAAAATAAATTAAATGTTTATTTTGCTCATTCTCAGACAGAGCGTCCATTTTTGAATCCAGGTTAAATTATTAGTATGTGTACTGTAATTGTAAACGCACACCCCCCCCCTAGAAGTGTTTTGATAAATTATCAGAAGACACTGTTTTAGTTTTTGTAGTAAGTATGCCTTTGTTTCTCTGAACTTGATCAGAGCTCACCTGCAAATGTAGTTATGTTGTGAGGGAGAACATTTATTTATTTAGAATATTTCCTGGAGCACTCTCAAAGAAATTAGTCCATTTTTTATCAATCTTTCTTTCCTCTTTCTCATTTCTATTTCGATGACAACCCATTAACTAATCCAAACTCTCTGCGAGAACGAGGCAAAATGAACTCTAAACTAAATCCCAGTGTTTGTCTTCGTCTACTGTAGACATGAACAATTATTTGAAAACTGTACTAATTCCTCACTTTTCTGAGACAAGAGCTCTGATTTATTAATAAGCAGTGAGCCGGCTGAGCATTGAAGATAATCTGAGGATGGATTTTGAATAATCTGGGCTGTACAAGAAAATAAAAATGTCCAACAAGACTGAGCAAGATTTTTCAGTATCATGATTTTAAACGCCGGGAGGGTGCCATGCTCTTACAAATATGTTTTTAAAAACTCTGGTGACTGTTTAGAGTCCCGTGATGCGTTTGTTTCACTCCTGATTTTATATATGGTTGCCCTCAGAAACAAGACAGCAGCTCTCCCATTGGTCCTTTTCTAAACGCAGGTTTTGTTGAGGTCGACTTTCACCGGCAGCGGCCCCGCCTCCTGGCTCTCCTCAGATTGTTTCAGGGTCACAGCGATCATAGGACTCAGGTAGTAGGGGTTGACTTTCTGAGCGTTATCCAGGAACTCTTTATCTCCGTTGATGCTAAGCTGAAAAGACAACCAATAAAGAAGTTGTAAGAGTGAGAAACAAGCAGCAAGTTCACCTACAACACTTCACACCACTGTGTTTTTACTTTCCTATTTAGAGTGCAAAGTATGATTATTATGATCAAAATAAAGCACTTTTTGAAAATAAAAGCATGTAAAAGAGGCACAAATTACATAATAGGGCCCCTAGGAACCGTGCATCTACTCGAGAGGCTTAGACAACACCAGATGTAAACATTAACGGCATCCTCCTCAGATTGAGAGTAACATAAGCTAGCAAAGGTGAGCCTCCTTCCTAATGCACGGTTTATTCTTCAAGGTAATATGCTATAAGCTAAGCAGATGTTTATTAGAAAGAAACTGCTCACAACAAGGTCTGAGAAGTGTTAAGACACTTTAAGTAGGCTTTGTTGAGCCTACTTTAAACTAGTGAAGTCATTGCTTCCCTCAGAAGTACACGAGTATGTACTTTTCTCTGCGTACCTGCGTCTTGATGTGCTGCTCTGGTGCGGTGACGAGGCTGGCACAGCTGAGCCACAGCATGACCATGATGGACAGGAAGAGACAGGCCGCTAGAATCCACCGTGGAAGGCCTGAACGTCTGCAGGACGAAAGAGTAGGACATGAAAAGAGACAGGAGTTAGGGGGTGAGATTGAAGATGGACAGAAATACAGAGAGAACTAAACATTAACAAATAAAACTAGGTCGAATGTAAATTGTCTTGTTGAAAACACACTTTATAGGAGTTTTGGCACTGCAAATTCAAATTACTTAAATTACTTTTCCCTGCATATACTGTAAGTGTATTAGTTGTTTTGTTGTGTATAACCTCACATACATGCAGCTGTGAGTTTGCTTTATTCTCTCTTTAGTTTTGAAACATTGAGTTATATAATCTGCAATACCTAACTGCAATCCATCATGTCGACATTTGTTATTGTCAAGGTTACAGAACCACCGCAAGACAATGCAATAGTAGACTAATTTTAAAAAATGACATCGTACAATAATGAAAATAAAATAAACTTTAAGTATCTGAAAGATGATTTTCCTGCTGACAAAAAACTGGAAATCAGATCAAGATACTTTGGTTTCTTAATCAATCAATTGTCATTTGTCTTGTGGTGCAAACAAATTGATATTAAGCAACCAACATTAATTACACTGTAATCTGAGTTTTTCAATTTGAACTGTATTGTAATATTTTATTTTAACTGTACTATGTATTATTATATTGACCTGTACTTAAATCATGTTCATAATTGTTTGTGTGATAGAGATTATGCAATGTTTTTAGTGTGTTGTTGATTGTTATGTACCTGCCTGAGGACTGCAGATGGAAATGAGCTATTAGCTATAATCTGGCATAATTCATATCTTCTTTTATGAGATTAATGTATTTGTATGCATGGTCCTTGTTGAAATAAATACATAATATATAATAGTATGAAGTATATTTTATGGGAAAAAAGCATAACTTGGTTCTTTATTCCTCAGCAGGGTAACCCAGCTCACCTGGACATGCAGCCCAGGAAGTCGTGCTCCGCTGTGGGGTCGTCTGCGTGCTGCACCGGGTGCTTCACTTTGCCTCCTGCTTTAGATGCTCCCCTCTCCCCATGTCCCCTCACGCCTGCAATACAATTCATAATAAAACATTTGTAAAAACATCTTGCAACAACATACTGCTGTATATGGATACAAGTGTGATGTGGGTACGTAGAGGCTAGGGTATAAACCGATTACATGTAACGGGACTTCTTCATTAGGATACAAAAAAACAAACCGTAAACAAGAAGTAATCAGATTTGTGTTACATTATTTTTGTATTTCTTTTAACACTTTATTTATTGGGTTTTCCCACACATAACACAATAACAGGAGAAAATACAAATGCAGGTGCTATATAAAAAAGAAATACAAAAAAGATGGAAAAACAATAATGATAATAATAACATAAAAAGACCATTGCAGTAATAGCAATGACAAAACCAAAATACACAATGACATGAAAAGACAGAAACAGAAAACCCCTAAAACCAGGTGTTACATTTTCTTTAACAAATAGGATTCCTAGGAGGATTACAATGATACAAAAAAACGAAAAAAGTGCATAATTTGTAGATTTTATTTAATCTTTGTAAGCAGTACTATTCTGTAGGATAGTAGTTTGAGTGTCTTTGAGGATATTGAGGTGATTAAAAACAGGAAATAATCAGGATTGCTTTTATTTTTTGATACTGATTACATCTTCTACAGGTAACTAGTAACTGTAACAGAATGATTAATTTGTTATTGTCCCTCCCACCCTGTGTATTCTCTCACCGTGGGGTCTCTGGGTGTGGGAGTGGACCTGAGGCCAGGGCTTGTCTGCCACGTTGGATCGAGGAGCCTGCAGCTCGGGCAGAGAGTACTCCATGTCTGGCTGGCTCTGAGGAGGAAAACAACAACAGAGACACTCAGCAATCAAGGCAGCAATTATACCAAAGTAAGTCAACAGCACAATTGACAGGAAATGGTCTGTCTGACTCTGTGAGGTCAGACCACAAGAGGAGCACTTACTAAGAATAGCTGCTAAAGCTGGACTGAACTTATTTACTATAAGATCAGAGGAGAGGCAAAGTTATACTTTTACACTTCCAAAATTAGCTAGACACTAAGGAAAAAAAGAAAAGTGAGACATTTAGAAAAACTTATGAATATTTTGAATTGTTTTTCTTCATGTCTGTATGGTAATTATAGAGCAAACCCTATTTCCAATAAGGTCAACACTATTTATTTAACAACATATTCATTTTAAAAAAACGTATTTTCTTACTGAGAGATTGACATTGATGACAGTTTAAAACATCTGATATTCAGTAGTGGTATTGATTTAAATGTTACACCAATCGTATAGTCTTTTAATTTTCTATTAGGATTATTAACATCAAAACTTGATACTTAAGTGCAACAAAGTTAGACGTTTCTCATCTTGAAGCATAAAAGATGATTGTGAGGCAGCCAAGTTATTGAAATACATTTTGGTTGAAAGCTTTGAACATCAGCTAAAAGGGATTTATACTCCTTTGTTCAACATGCCGAATGAATCTGAACACTAGTGAAATGATTAATGATAAGGATGAGAATTACATTTCTTGCATAACTAAATCTAACTGACTTTGAACTCATGATCATCATCTTTTATTGTTGCCTGCTTAATATGTCCGGGAGTCCCTCGTCGTTTCTTTCTCGCACACCCAAACTACTTTAAGTAAAACCCTTGAACTGGGACGGCAGTTTGAAAATTGGCTTTTAAAACAACTGTTTAACCGAAACGCAGAGCCTGCTGACAGTATTTGTTCCGTTGTGAGTTTCATTATGTGCGCAGTGTTTCTGGTCCCCCCTGGAGATCTCATTAAAAGAGGATTTTGGTTCCCCACTGCTGACCCTTCCTCCACTATAAGAGCAGCTGTAGTCGGCTCAAACAATACTATTGCTAGCCTCAGCCACACACACACACACACACACACACACACACACACACACACACACACACACACACACACACGCACATCTTAAGAGGAGTACAGTAAATCCCACTGAAGTAGCGTCAAGATCCCGGTATTTATCGATTCTGCAGTAAGTGGATCAATGAACTTCAAAATCTCTGGCTGTGTCTTGCGCTGTCATGTGAACCACAAAAATGAAATCTGCATTTTCATTACATTACTTAGGATATGATTGATGTGCTTTCTCCTGAACGATTATAGTCACTGGTTCAGAAAAACAAAACAACACACTGTAGTTGGCCGTAGAGACATGACTGGTTGGTTTGTTCCCCAAAACACGTTCAATCCTTTAAACCTCCTCTGTTGAAATAGCTGTTACACAACCGGGTTTATTACCCATAGCAAACAACGTTTTTTTGACAGAGTGCATTGAAACCAGATGCAGCAGCAGTGTGAAGGGTTTGAGCGGCTGATTCTCATTGGCTGCAGACTGAAGGGATCTAACCATCACAACGAGCAGAGCCTGATCTGCATCTGTCATGCATTATAAGAGAGAGGGGGGGATGTAAAAGGTGCTCCGGCTTAAAGGAAGAAAGGAAGAGAGAAAGAAAGAAAGAAACCATGAAATAAAGAAGGAAACAAGGAAAGAAAGAAAGATTTAAAGAAATAAATAAGGAAAGGACGAAAGAAAGAAATAAAGAAGGTGGATTGGAAAGAAAGATTTGAGGAATAAAGAAAGAAAAGAATACAGGAAGGAAGGAGATAGAGTTTCACTAAATCTCACTTCTCTTATTTTGTTAACTTTCAATCTGTTGAAAGAATCTGTGCGAGGGCGAAGTGAATATCAACGTTTAATGCAAAACAACTTTGACTGACTCTTAATCACAATTATAAACACCGTCTCTCCGAGGCCCCATCGAGCTGTGCATTAAGCAAATGAATCATCAAATAAAAAAACCTTGGGGGAAATATATCAAGTTAATTGGACTTCAAGTTGGACTAATGGTGTCAAAATGATGGCCCTTAATTAGGAGACCCTAAATGAACTTTGATTACAGCTCTCCCATGTCGACAATTAAGACCACTTTTAATTTTTCTGGAGGTGAGGAAGGTGGAATAGGAGACAGAAAATACTTTATGTTGAAATGATAATAAAACAAAACTTATAAAAAATGGTTTAGAGAAACAAAAACCTCAGGATTAAAAGACAAGTCCGGCTATATTCTGTATTTCTCTTATTGTCAACGCATCTAGACCAAAACAACTGATGAATGTATTGATCTTTATAACAAGAATTGAGTATGAAAATCCTGATCTTGCTTCATTTAGAAAACCATGGGCTCTGTAGCTTATCATGGGCAAATCCCCAAAAACGTATACCTTCCGCCAAACAGTTAACACACAGTTAACACACCAAATGTAAATAAAGTAATTGCTGTTATCCACTGTTAAAAATGCACTTTTTACTCATGTTGTTGTAAAAACTATACTTCCCACCTGTTTAGCCCTATTTAAAAAATGAATAAGTATACCTGTCTTCAGTAGGAACCATACTGAATACTTTATAAAAGAAGGGGAAGTAGTCACCGTGATGTGAGGTTGAGGACTACCGTTGTTATTTCGGCTGTTTCAATTTTTGTTAGCCAGAAGTGACTACATTTTGACAAGTTGATCTATTATTAGAACCAAACACGGAACAATGCTGTGGCGGCAACTTGTCAATCACAAGGTTGTCCCGCCTTAAAGCATAAAGCATTTTTTTTGTTTATTTTACTCTTAATGGGACAATAATTTACAAAATAGACATTATGCTGGACTGGAGAATACTTGAAACGAGTGACTGAGACCATAATGTTTACTGAAGTAATAAAATCAAGTGAGATATGGGGTCCTTTTCTCATTGACTTTTCAGACAATGATGTTGCCCCTTTGAAACCAATGGTATTGTATCTGAGAACAATAGAAACAAAGGTGGTCAAAGATGAACCATAACACCATAAATCCTGAATGTGCTTTGCATACTGTATGTAAAGTGCATGCTTATGTCACCATTAGCGTAAACTACGCTGAGAACTGACTTCCTTTACAGTCTAGCATCATTAGTCAGTCAGGTTTACAGCCTCACCCAGAGTTCACTTTGCTCTGCAGGCGTGCTCCCTAACAGAACAGGAGCTCAGTCAGAGGAAGTCTTTCATTAACTCTCTTTTGTCGCACTTTCAAGGTCTGATTTGTCAAAAATAACACCAGGGTGCTGAAAAGGGAATGACTGAATGAGGTAAAGGGCTGTGTTTTACCAATGCTTCACAAAATGACAAGTTTCCTTTACTTTTTTCCATCACTGGGGGACAACCCCAGCTGTGACCTAAAAGCGACTTATTCCAGCTTCACAAACTGAACACACTGCTGCCACTAATGTTTGTTTATGATGCACACAACCAGTCATTCTCACAACTTGAGGTCACACAAACACACACATGGACGCACAGATGGATCTATAAAGAATGCGCTTTATGGACATACACATCATTTATATGACAGACAGCGTTGGGTTGCTTCCCCCCCTCTGCTGTCCCTCAATTTAGCTGGACTTTTTCTGTTGTTTCAACACTCGGAAAGTCAATCTGTCAAATCTGTGGCGGTCTGCCAGCTGACCACTAAACACAGGCCTGGTATTCTTCCCACAGCCCCGTGGAGCCCGGCTTCTCTCTCCGCTTCAGCCGGCATGTCACTTCCACAAAGAGCAAACATCCATCACCACGTTTAAAAGAAATGTTGGTGATTTTCTGTGGCTGCTGCATCTCTATGTGAGGTGGAGCCCATCGTTTCTTATACCTAATAGTGAATTTAAGCATTGAAAAAAACCTCCTATGATACACAGTAGCCCTTCTGTATGGGTTACGGTGCATAAATACTGTCATTTCTCTTTTAGCCCTTTAATTATGCAGCTAAAAATGCGATCAAAGTCACAAATGGGGAAAACCCCTGACAGGGAAGCAGGTTTCCGACCCGTTTTTGGAGGATATGGTTGAGTAGTCTGGTGGTTAGACAGACCAAATCCTGTTATAGCTTTAATGTATAGGTGCTTTACGCCATTGATCTTAGCAATTAATCCAACAATCGAGTAGCCACGGCTGCAAAAACCTCTAAGTTTGCTTTTTCTAATAATACGATTTTTCTGGTGTACATCTGGATCCAGATCTGCAGGAAAGTGCTTAATCAGCGAAAATCGTCCATAAAACACAGAGTTATTTAACAAAAAGTCTTGCCAACAGTGCCAAAAAATAACCTCTTGTGTGGGGGTAATCATGAGCAGTGAATCGGTCAACTCAATCTTTTAAAATTCCTCGGAAAAAGTTGGAATATTTATTTGTCACAACTTAAACTTAATCCTTTAGCGCAGTCCACTCTTCTAAATCTTGCAGTGAGTTTCTGTCCTGAGGCGGGTTCACCACAGTAAGCCGTGCCGGATATAAAATATGCATGGGGCTAAAGGGAGAGACATAATTTAAAAGGACATTTATAAACAATTAAAGTGCTGAAAAACTGTTTGCAGCTCTCTAAATCTAACCACCTTGTCCCCACCCCGCTGTGTGCCCTTACTCAGTCAACCTTCACAGATGCACCGACTCTAGAGTGGGCTGTGAGTCGTTCTGGCAGAGACCCAAGCTCTGCAGCATCGTACGGTTAGAGGATGTATTTCACTATGTTAACAGGAAGCAGCTCATCTAATAATCTATAAAGGTTTACGCGCTTGCTTTTAACCTCCCGTCAAAAACACATGGTACGAAAAAGCCTTTTAGTTATCATCATGGGATTCATGGAGATTTGAGTGTTTATTTGTCTGGGTCTTTTAAAGCAAAGCACTTAAATATCCAACTCTGTTCTCAGCATAGATATTAAGAAGAAGCAGGACACAATATGCACTTAGTACAGATACAATTGAATAAAAAACGTTGAACAAGTTATGATTGTTGAAACATAATCAAACCAAAAGCTGATTACATTACATTGTTACTTTATGCATTGTGTGTGTGTTTATTGCAATTGTTCTCTGATGAGATTTGATATATATGGGTCAATGTAAGTGGACGTTGTCTTTCTTTTTCAGTTCAGCCACAGGAACCTTTACTGATCACTGCAATTATATATATATATATTTTGTTATCAATACCAAATAAAATAGTTGAACATTTGAAAATGAGTTTGACCTGGGTTTAGTTGAGAACACCATCAGGTTTATAAATTGGCAATAGAGGGCAGAATATGTGCGTTTCGTGGCCATTTTGCAGAACATAACTGTAACCATTTATCTACAAACTAGACAGGTCAACGAGGAATGCTTTCTGTGAAACAGGAAAAATATACTCCTAGAGCCCTCCAATACAAAGGCCTGTTCTGGATAAACACTTAGTTTAGGTCTTACCTGGAAAACCACAACCTTGCCGTCATCAGCCTGCAGGTAGAAAGTCCAGGTGGAGGAGATGAAGCTCTGGGCGGAGCTGACGATGTCGTTGCACCAACCGGACACGGCCTCCATCACAGAGAGGGACTTAGGGCGAAGAGTCATGGCCCTGAGCTGCAGAGGAGAGAGAATCAGAATACCTGTATTAGTCCCACTGAGGGGACATTTACATTGCTACAGCAGAAAAGAGCCACAGACAGCTTAATGTTACCTAAAGTGTGCATAACAAAGTATTAAAGATAAAAGAAGAAAGAAATTATAATAATTATACAAAATACACATCCTAAACACACTCTTTACGAGCGGTATTGACTGTGTGTGTACCGTTTGCACACATTTGTGATCTTAGTGATTTTACCACTCAGATGTGGCTTTGGCTCTCATTGCTCGTTTGCAGTGTTACAGTGTTCAGCGTTTCTCACCCTTCTCCTCTGGAGCTCAGGTTCAGAGGGTTGGCTGGCGCAGCCGGTGCAGCAGGCCTCCTGCTCCAGCTGCTTCACGTACGCCTCCTGACAGGCTGGAGAGAGAGGCAGGGGGGTAGCATGATGGTAAAAGAAGTAAGAGAAGAAGAAGTGCAAACATGCAAAAAGGGCACTAAGCAGAGTTGGCATAGAGCACTACGGTGAGTTTGCTAGAAGATAAAAGGAAAATAATATCAGGTACTGGCTTCATATGTGGGAAGGAAGATAAAGATGCAAGTGAGATTTATCTGTTGGCCTCCGTGGAGATGAATCACTCCATGTTGCCGTGATTGAAACAGGGAGCAACGGGGCATTGGCTGTCTGGACGGCAAATCACATCATTGATTTCCAATAGAGGTTCAAACACCCAGAAAAACACCCAGCTTTTAGGAAACAGTGCAACATTTTCATTTTGAGGTCAAACGAGTCCTTGTCAAAAGGACTCACTCGTTCAAGGTCTTAAGAAACAATTTCAGTAGAAACAGCATGAATGTACCGTTTAACCTTGACATTACTTTGTGTTGCACAAACCAAACGTATGTTTAAGTGAATCACATGGCTACATTTAATCAATATATGTATATTACATCAATATTGTGATATAAGACCAAATATTGTCTCTCATTTTGGACATTGTAATATGCCATAACTGTTCACTTTTTCCTGGTTGAAAGGGCGGATTGCAGAAAAGTGAAGTGATGTTCAAATGTTTTTATTTATCTTTACCAGCACTAAGTCATCATATCAACATTACTGAAGATTTTTTATTTTATGAAAGCATGAACAGTCAACCCTATAATGTTGTTGCAGTTTTTAAATGGAGTTATTTAGTAAAAAAATATTTAGATTTAATTTTAGGTGGATTCAGTCCGCTGCCATTCATTTTTACATTTAAGTATTGAGCAGCGTACACTTTTGACGCTGGCCCTGCTCAGTATGTCATGCAGACAGACAGGAAGACAGACAGACTGATAGGCAAACAGACTGACACTGACTCACCTCCCTGACACTCCTCCCTGCTGGTGTTGAAGCCAGCGTTGCCATTGACGAACTGGCAGATGGAGTAGAGGCGACAGCCGCGGTGACAGGCGTTCATTATGGAGTCCTACCAGCGGACAGAAAGCAGAGAGGGAGATGCAAAATTAGAGATGTCTCTGGCACTCTTGGATAAACTCAAGATTGGTTTGTTAGAAAAAATGATGGGTTATGGCATCTCCTAATGACACGTTGCAGCTTTTAAATTACAGCCTGTCACAAACAGTTGATACAACTGTTCACAATGTGCCTGTTGTAGGAAACAAGTGCAGGAATATGAGGTGGTTATTTAGGAAAATGCACATTATTGTACTTTTTACAATGCATTAATTATGGTTTTAGATAAGGAAACAGCGCCCCCTGGTGACCTCTCTGGGGACAGACGAGACAAAGAGATTCCCTGACCGCGACCATGAAGGATTTATTACAGCCTTGTGCTTGTCATCTTCATCACAGCGTGTCACTGTTTATTCACAGAGGGGTGTTTATCTCCAACCATAAAACGGTGCCTTATTGTTTGGATGCTCTGCATATTCAACCTTCCTTTAGCTACTGCCCAGTATGTAGGTTTTCAAATCGAAATATGCTTCTTTAATCACAATCTTTAAAGCAGTACACTCTGATCTGTCTTGCAGCTCTGCCCTGCAGGATGCCTGAACCACACCTGAAGGCAGCGGAGGAGGAGGAGGAGGAGGAGGAGGAGGTGGGAGGAAAAACATCCGACCCTGGAAATCTAGGCAATGCTCTTAACCACAGAAACTCCTGGTGAAATTCACAGCCATTATGTACCGTCCTGCATGGGGTCTAGTCCGGCCTCTCCTAAGATGCTGTGTATACTGAGAATAAAGGATTGCTTCATGCTTCATAACAGTCTCACTGACCCTCCTCCACCCTGTAGTATAAATGCCCTGCTTGATCTTAATAGCGGATAAAGGAATGATCAGTTTTTGGCGCAGTTTAAACCAAGTACAGCTGACTGTGTGCAGTTCACTTCTTGGACGACACTGTAAGGTGCAGAAAGAAAACGAGCTGCAACCATCTTTCGGCCTAATTGTGCGCCGTCGCGTCCAAGAGGATGCAGCGAAAAAACCCAAAACATGTCATTACGCACGGACATAAACGCATTTCTTTTATATTTTAAGATGTAAACATCGTTTTTTTCGATGCTGAATATTTTGTAGCTTATTCGTCAGTATGTCTGGCGCTGAATCGTCGGACAGAAAGATGCATCTCTCTCGCTGCTGGTAATGCGCTTCCTGCAGAGACAGCCGACAGTACAAGAGGAAGGAAGGAATAACTTACTTTAGCTGGGCTTTTGTTTTTGATGGTGAGCTGGCATTGCTTTTTGCAGTAATTGATGTCGCCCAGTTGGTTGTCAAACAGATCCGAAGACGCCGCAGCGATCCCGGCGAGGAGCACCGAGAGCAGGGCGGAGAAGCCGCACATCTTTCCGCCGAGCCGGAGCATCTGTAACCCTGGAGAGGAAGAGGAGGAGGAGGAGTGGAGAGAAGAAGAGGTACAACAACCAGCACTGAACTCCCTTTGTGGCGCTGCTGGTGCGGATGCTTTGCTGCCTCAGCCCGGTGCTTGTCTGCTCCAAGGATCTGCCTCTGCTCGTGGCGTCACACGCATCATCATCACGCACAACGCCCCCCAAACACACACACACACACACACACACACACACACACACACACACACACACACACACACACACACACACACACACACACACAACCTGCAGCGCTGCGTTCACTGCAGTGCACAATGTGGCAGTGATGACATTCATAAAATGTGTCAGATAGTAGAAAAGGAGCAGATGCCCACAGAGCTGACAGATGGAGAGTTTGTTGGAGTATCGACAGTTCATAATCAATGTGATAATTATAGGTTTAATGTAGAGATCCTGCTGGAAGTGTGGCAACAGAGATGAGGATAGATTAGCAAACAACTGTTCAAACTATATTGTATGTGTTTATTGATTTGGTCTTTTAATCCTATTTAAACAATATGTTATAAAATGATACAATACAAAGACCTTCACTTATAAAACATAACCCTATAGAGCAAAAACTGACGAAACAAGTTTTTTTGTTGGTTGATGCATTGAAGTGTTGCTGCTGTGACAAAACAAATTCCCAAATTGGGATCAATAAAGTCATTTAATCTAATATTTTGCACATCATAGGAATATTCTAAATCCTTGTTTCAGATTCAGTGAAAACATAGTCAGTTAAAAATAAAAGGCATAACATGTTAATAATAATAATAATAATAATGCATTACATTTTTTTATTAGAGCGCTTTTACAGGTGCTCAAAGCGCTTTACAATCACATATTACACATATTAGACATGTAAATGTCATTACTGTGGACATTACCCACAGGAGCAAATGCGGGATGAAGTAAAACAACATATTAATAATGTATTGGATTATTTTTGATATAAGCGAAGTATGTAGCAATTTAATGTCATTTCCTAAAAAGTCAAGCTAATTCCAATTCGTTCAATAACAATAAAGATTATCGAATTGAAGTATAGTAGTAGTTCATTATTTGTACCTCACATAATTTATGTAGCCTATATGCGTGTACAAACCTAATGTAATTGAGTGGATGTAAGAAATGTAAGTATAATAAAATGGTAAGTAGGCCTACCTTAAATTTGCTTTACTGTACTCTAAGTACAGTTCTTTAGTAAATAGCTAAGCTCGATAGATAGATAGATAGATATAGATAGATAAATATATATAGATAGATAGATAGATAGATAGATAGATAGATAGATAGATAGATAATTTATTATTGTTATGCATGGCCCTTGTTGAATAAAGACCCTATCATTTTATTGTATAAGTTTACACACTTAGTCTCTTGGAAAACAACCTGGAAACCCAACCTGTGTGTGTCTGTATTTGGTATTTGTGTGTGTGTGTGTGTGTGTGTGTGTGTGTGTGT